CAGCTCATGTTCCAGTGGAGGGTAATGTCCAATTCCCTTCTCCAGCTAAGAAATGGACCGAAACAGCACAGTCTTTGACTGTCTGGATTATTAAGGGCAGAGGACATGCAGTCATGTAGTAATAACTCTAGGAGAGAAGGGACAGGAAATTTTCTCAGTGACCGTCAATTATGATGTCTATTTACTTATGCCCCAGGCCCTGTATTCCTGGTGCCCACCAACCACAGATCCTTGCTCCTGTTCCATGACCCTCTGCAGATGGAGGTGCTCAATGACCCTTCACCCAGAGCCTTGTGCTTGCTTATGTCCATTGCAGTTAATACAGACATAATATTCACTCTTCTCTAGTTCATGTCCAACCTGAACTGACAATTGGGTGCCACTCAGACAGATTCAATCACAGAACAGGAAAATCTTCTAGTATTGAAAAGAATCACACTTACTTAACTAGATCCATCAGGAAAAGCACCATCATGACCTAGAAAGTGTCTGACACACATGATTGTTGGATTCTGCTCTTGAAAATGACCCTTAAAATCAGTCTTAATGCAGTATATTTTTTGAGCACCTACTATGAACATTCAATGCTCTACATACATTATTTAGATTCACAGCTACAAGATGGGTTTGATAACAACTCAAGTCAGTCACCTCCTAAAGGGGGTGAAATGATTAGATCAGTTCTAAGATTGCTACCATGTTCTGTGGGCTCACCAGGACAGGCCTTTAGTATAAGGATACAGTAACACTGAATTCCAGCAAAAGCTCATTGGGTCAGTCTCTATTAATTCCCTGTTTGCAATTATTTTTTTATAATGTGCAGCTTATTTGGTTGAATTGCAGGGGCTAGACCTACTCTACCAAATTGGTTTTGGGGCCTTCAGTGTACAAATTTGCCATCGTTGACCACACTCCAGTTATTCTCAAACAGCACTAGTAACGTGAGGAGCTGGGTCGTGCTGATGGATTGTGTGCTGTGCTTCCCAAGTCCATGTTCAGTGGCGATACACTAATAGTCTGAACTAGATCTTAGTGGGGATATTTGCATCAAGGTGATTGGAAAATGGTATCAATCATGCTTCGCCTTCTTCCCATGAGCCAGTTGTTACACATTTGCCAGCCCTCCAAGGCAAGCCCTCTGCTGAGAAGTCATCTGAAGGTCCATGAGCTCCTCTATAAAAAGTAGGCTGAAAGGCAGACTTTCCATCTGACCTTGAGTCAGTGAGTTTCCATCAATGAGAAAACTCAGTGCCAACCTGAGATAAATCCTATTCACATGGCAATTTTACTTTTCCTTTGAACGATTCCTTCAAACTCTTTGGCACTTTCATTTTTCTATCTTAAAATTAAAGGTGTTCTTTCTCCCTGGACACTCCTTTTCCCTCCTCTTCATTCTCAATGAGTTGTCATTTTAGCTTCTCAGTCAAGAGGAGTAACAAAACCCCACCCATCTGATGCTCTCACTTCCGTGGAAATAGCTGGACCCACTTACCCTGGGCAGCAGCCCTCTGCCACCAACACAGGGCAGCCACCATTCATTAACTGGCTATCGCCATGTGTTGGGACTTCAGGGCCATGTCCAGCTGAGACCAAAGAAGACACAGTGGGAGATTTCCCACTGCCTCCTGAATGCTAGCTGGTGGCAGGATTTGGGCCTCATTTGACTAATTGCCCCCTAGAGCTGCAGGAACTGCTGGAGGTACCTAAGCAAATCATCAAAAGTTTCATCCTGGGGCCCTTTTCCAGACAAAGAGGTCCACTTAAAACATCATCTGGAGATTTCTAACTGAGCCTGAGATTCTCCAGTGAAGCGGATACTTCTACTTTGCAATCTGGCCGGGTGGTTTAGCTGGCCTGAAATGTTGCTATGGAGGTGAGGGGACACAAGAGTCCCTAATATATGTGGCCTTGCTCCTTGTCCTGAAATACCATTTCAGACTCCTTATTTCTCCCCCTCTGGGAGCTAAATGACTCATTTCTTTCCCAGAAGTTTATTTTTCAATATGATGAATATGGTCAATAAACAGATTTGGGACTTATGGCACAATCTGAGTAGTGACTTTGTGGACTTTTAATATTTGCATTAACATTCCTGACAATTAATTTCTACCAACACCACCACCCCAAGAAGTTACAAATTACATCCACATTCCCCTCCCCGCCTTACTCACTACACTAACTGGAAGCCACATTTACCAACATCCAAGGAGAACCAAAATAGACTGACTGTGGAAGAATTTTCAAGGCATTTGCTGAAAAAGATCTCCCATCTAATGGAAGTAGCAATACTCCAAGACTTTTTTTATTTTTTTTTCATAGAAGTCTGTTTCTTCAGAACATTTTCAGGACTGAGGTGTAAATGAATGAGAAATGTATAAATTCAATTTTGCTTAAAAGGGGCAGGAGGGTTTCAAGATTAAGAGAACAAACCCTTGGAGCAAAACATGATTTGAGTTTTATTGAACCAAGAAGACTGAAAAAAATGTCTGGAGCGCTCAGAAAATCTTTATCAAGTCTCCGCTCAGTACTCCTGGGACTCATCATGAAGTTTATAAAATTCAGAGCTGATGAGGTGTGTGCTGTGTATCTGAGTGAGTTTATGACTCACCTCCCACCTCGGCTGTAGGAATCTGAGCCTCCAGGGTTATGCTTAAGGAACAAATGGAACTTGTTTACCCCTCTGCTCCCCCCACACCTCCACACAGGCACCAACAAGGATCTTCACCCCTGATTATAGGGGGATATGTTGTCAATCAGAAGGATGGTGCTAACTCATCCAGAATAAACCAAGCAACCATATTTAAGGGGAGGGAAGAGATGACATCCTTTATGGTACAATTGATCCCTTTTACCCATTTCATCCACCATCTGTCCCTTCTTCCCTTCTGGTCAGATGTGATTTTTTTTTTCTAGTTCTCAGTGAGAAGTCAGCTCTGCTACCCAGGCCTTTTGGCATCTATGTCTTTGCAAATGTTGTCCCTCACCCTTCTTCCTTCAAGACTCATAAATTATCACCTCCCACTAATGCCTCCCCTGCTGCCCCTTCCAGTCCCCTGCACCCAGGCAGCAGTAGTTAAAGGCTTTCTCCTCTCGGCCCCCAGCATCTTAGCCATATCCATGCTGCTGGGAATGATTTGCCAAAGATTTCTGGACAGCAATCCCTAGCATCTTACAAATACGAATATTATCTATATTTGGCCCATGCTGTATGTTTTAAATGTTAAATTTGTTGATAATAGCAAAGAATCAGGGCACAAACAATCTTTTAATTGCAGCACCTCCTGAAAAATCCAAAGATTTAACCTCATTGGGCCAAAATTCAACATGATAATAACTAGTTGTAACAGCTATTTCCCTTTCACAGAACCATTGATGTCTAGCCCCAGTCTCCACCACTCCCTATGGTTGTGCCATATCTAAACTCATCTAAATTATCTACCAACTACTACTGTGTTTGGGTTTGCAATCCTTGATCTGTCTACCAGTTCAAGCACTCCATTTGAACAGATATGTCCTTTCATCTGTCTCCCAACAAGTACTATCACACGCCTGACATGGTAGAGGTCAATCATATTTGTAGACATCACTCTGAAAATAGTGCCTGTGCATTTTTAGGGCAGCAACACTATCCTGGAAGACACTGTGATAGTAGGCATATAAACACTTGTCAAAAACCATAGAAAATACAACACTGAGAGTGAACTCTAAACTATGGACCTTAGTTAAAATAATATATCAATTTGCATTTGTCCGCAATAACAAATATACCAAAGCAAGATGTTAATAAGAGGGGAAACTGTGAGGATATGGGATATGGGGACACTGTGTATTTTCTGTGCAATACTACTGTAAACCTAAAATTGCCCTCAAAATAGTCTATTAGAAAAAAAATAAATAAATACAAATGCTATCAAATCAGAGTGATAACAAGAGCAACTCTGTATCTGGCAAAATTGGTTTCTGCCATGAGATTCAGTTCAGAAGACAGAAGCAGAACACCACTGGGCACCCAAATATGCCCACCCATACCACCACTTTGAGGAACAACCTGAGCATAAGCCTGTCTGGGGTGTGGGTGGGGCGTGACTATGACACATGTGAAGGGATGACTGCGCTGCCTTACACACACTTGGCTGGGGTACTGCAAGGACAGAAGCAAGTTCAAGTAACAGCCTACAGGGGAAGACCAGGTTGAACACCAAACACACCTCAAAAGACCAGCAAACAATCAGCAAATAGCACTGCTACTCTTTGGGACCTGGAGTCCCCCAACACCACCATGCCAAAGAGGATTTTCCATGTCTGAGATGTTGTCTTATGTTTTCTGTTCGGCATAACAGGGGACTTTACCTGCATTCCCTCAACCCACATATCTTAACGTGTTAATTGTTTTTTTTCAACAGCCCTATGTCTTTTCTGCCTTTGTGTTTCTTATCAGACTTGAGAAGGGAAGAAAGAAACAAAGCCTTGTAGGTTGTGAGCTCCGAGAGAACAGGAACAGTTGTTTCATTTACTGACATATGATAGTAGATGCTTCCTTGATAGTAGCTGAGTGAGGGAAGGGTGAATCCTACAGGATAGGCAGCTTCAAATCACAACGTAGCAGAGAGCAGCAGTAGGGCCTACGTTGTGGAGGGTGTCTTATTAATCACTCTTCACTCCAACGTGCGGGTATTTCCAAGGACCCATCCACATCTGTGCATCCTCTGCCCCATGCCATCCCATCTCTCTCAGCTGCATGGCTGCATGGCTGCGGGCATGCTCAGTGAGCCCCCTGCTGGGAGCTGTGGGCACTGCAAGGTGACCCATTACTCTTGCCTGTGGACCTTGGGAAAAGGTCAGGGCGGTGGTCCCTCCCAGCTCTAACAGGAGACTTTGTTGCCTACGTGGAGCTGGATGGTAACCCTGGCACCCTGAGAGCAGAACCATGGCTCTCACACAAGTGTGTTTTGTTTGTTTGATGAATGGATTTGGTAAAATGTTTTCTTACTTTTTCCTAGACATCGCCTGGTGGTATTACCAGTATCAGCGAGGTAAAAAAGCTTACACTAACTCGGCTATTTTGGTCACATAACTTTGCAAGGAAGAGCTGTTTAATTAAGTATATATTTCATAATTCGTCTTCTCACTGACCAACTTCTGTACTCCTTGTTAGCAAACCCCACCAATTAGGAATAATTTCTACTGGAAACAGTTGGAAGTGTGCTTTCAGCAATAAATTACAGGAAAAGCTTTATTCCCCCTAAGAAACCGTAAGTTGTCTTCTCATGGGCGACAAAGATATATGGAAAAGCTTGGAGCCAGTTCGTGGTTCAAGTGTAGTAAATGCTTAGAACAAATAACCTGAATTTCTATATTTTCTTTTTCCATGTGCTCTGGAACGCCTAATCTAATAAACAGTTTCTGAGGCAGTTTCTTATTATTTATCTTTTTATATTATTATATTATTTTATATAATAAGCTTCGAGTGCTTTATGAGACAAAGTGGAATGTGTTTAAACAAACAAATGAGGGAGCAGAAGGTGGAAGACTCGATGGAGTGAGGTTGAACAAAGGGAGGGGGAGGTAGGTAAGCAGGCAGAGATCAGTAACCAAAAACTCAAATGCCTATGAGGCCAGGCAGGTAGCATGAATGCAGATGTGAGCCAGAGGTGAACCAGAGCCAGCACCAGAGGCTTTGGCTGCCCAGGGAATAGAGGCAGTGCTCAACTCTAATAGACTATTGCCCAGTGAGATTTTGAGACCAAGAGAAATCAGGAATCCTGATTTTTCATATGAACATCTCACTTTTAAATATTGCCAATTAATCTACCCCACTCCAAAAAACAAAACATATTTAATTTCCAAATAAGAGCTACTTTTGGGCTGTGGTCATCCCATGGCTGCCATTTTGTAATCTCAGAACTAGATAAATTCCATCCCAGAGACTCCATGATGGAGAAATTATTTTCTAATCCAGGAGGAAGGAGATCACCATGGCCATGGTCCTTGGACTTGGCCATGAACCTAAGAGAGAAGACACCTCACCAGCGAGACCAAAAGCTTCTATCTTCCCACTCTTCATAGTTCAAGGATCTACTTGGTACAAGTAGACGCTAGTTATGAACCTATTTGCAGTTTGTCGAGGGAATCAGAAGCCATTGCAGGACACTTGGAAACCAGATCTATAAAAAAGGCCTTGGACCAGCTGGATTCTAGGCTCAGCTCTCTGTCATCAACTGGCTATGTGACCTAGGACTCAGACTAAGACATCTAGTGACAGCATTTGGAAGAAATCTCCAATGCTAGAGCCCTTAACACAGGTTCTTTGTGTATAAAAGATACAGCAGCTCACTGGACGTGTACAGGCAAATGTCCTGATTCAATACATTTTTTTTTTCTGAAGCTCTAAAGCTCTCATCCCACACTCAGAAGTGTCTATGACTCCAAAACATTAAAGACTATTTCATCTGAATCACTTCCCCAGACTCACCTGCAGTCTGGGAATCCTCTATGGCAATTCCTCTAAACTTGGTTATTCTATCTCATTTTAACCATCCCCACTAACAGTTCATCATTCTTCAAGGTATTGTACCATAGAAAACTCTCTTTAGAACACTCCTCTTCCTTATATTCAGAAGGAGAGGAAAATGAGTTCCCTACACTCCTACCACATACAAAGTTGTTTTAAGACAGGGGGCATGAAAACATCTTACAAATTAAAAGTCTTTATAATTTATTCTTATTATGTTGTTATCACCATAATATTCAATCTCCCAGTTAATTTGATCTCTATCACAGAAACCCAATCTGACTTAGTAACTGGCTCGTTTTAGCTAACAACAAAAAACAATAACAACAACAAATATTTGGCCTCATACATTCTTCACAAACCTCAAAAGAAACTGTCCAGGAGGCTCCCCAGCTGCTAATTCTATATTTCTTCTTCCTGCCGGCGACGTGGGCCGCTCTTTCTTTACCGGGAACCTTCTTGCAGTACCGAGAGATTCCCCCAGGGGGCAGCATCAGGGATCCAGAAACTCCTACAGCTTCTTCCAAAGATTAGGGATGTATTTACAGTGGCCAGATGCACCAGACACGGAGAAAGGGATGCCTTGATGACGGCATCCGAAAAGGTTGCCACAAGCATAGGCAACACATGAGTGTTATAATCAGCACATTTTTTAAAGGAATAGATTAAAAATGAGAACCGAGTACACCTCCCATTAGGGAAGGAAAGTACTATTTCATAAAAGTTTTGCTTCAAAATATTTCACCAAAATTTTGCTACTATCATGGGTACCCTGGATTATGATGGACGTTGTTCTTACCATGAAACACAGTAAAAAACAAACCAAAACAAAATTCAAGAAACAGTAGTTTAAAAAAAAAAACAGACCCACCCTAATGTCACCTACAGGCAACTTCCCAGCATCTTACGCCTTAAAGATGAATTTCCTTTAGTAGCTTATGTTACCACAGACGGACAATTGGAGGGTGAATGAAAAAAGCAAAACAAAACAAAAGCTTAACCATATATATATATTCACATTTTGCAGAGCCTGTTTGATGTGATCGTTGCCTAGATGGCCAATAGATAATGTTTTATAAAGTTCAGTTCTAGCTTAATGAAAGGGGCTTACTATTTGATATTACTATATTGAATAATGCACTTGTTTCATAAAAGAGATAGTAAACAAGTACAGTTTCTATGTCAGAGAGATTCTCTCCAACTTCTGTAAAGAGATGACCCTGATCTTATAAGGAATTTAGTGACAGGAAGAGGACTAGCAGTAAGATAATATTACAAAAAAAAAAGTGTAAGATCAACTTATGTGTATGAGATGCCTTTAATAGTATATCATTCTTCCAAAAATATGTTTCTATCTTCCTTGTTTACATGTTAATATGACTTTTACCTCTTTTCACCCTGTTAAATATCTGCATTTAAAAATTACTATTAAATCTAGGCGATTTTAAACTGACAATTTTATTTCCATTTTAAAATGAGTTAAAAATATGTGTGCGTATTCTGAAGTAGACTTATGGGGGGGTGTTGTTTCCTTGAGAATCCACCCTTTGATTTACAGAGAAACACTGCAGTGTTTAGGTAATTGCTACTTAACTTGTTAGCTAAAACCATAACAATAATTAAAGGCTCTGCAAGAATTATAAGGAAATTGGCCACTTGCAGCTATGTTGTATAAACACGGCATCTTATTTATATTGAATAATCTGCCTTTCTCCAGCAGGATAAAAAACGTGTTGCCAGTGCATGGGAAAGATGACAACTGAGAATTGCTACCAATTTCTCCTGCCTCTCCTTAGAACCTTCCCCAAATGAACATTACCTTAGGGAAGATATACAAGATACAAACTCACCTTGATAAATTATTTTTGTATTGAAATCAAAGTGTTAAAAGGAAAAGCAACCATTGCAAAGAGAATCTGGTACAAAGAGAACAGAGACACAATTTCATTCTCCCTGTCCTCCCAGCCAGAAACAGCCTGTCCTGACGCTCCATCATCACAGAGTGTGACGTGATATCTGTGCGTGCTCACAGCAGCCTGCCCATCTCATCAGCATTCTTGCCAGCCCTGATTTACAGTTCAATATATGGATTTGGTAATGTCTACATGACAACAATGGGCAGAGAAGATTAGATGGCAATTGATCGTTGATTGGGGTAAATTTATAGAAAGCATTCTGGCAGGGCCCAGAGAAAAGCACTCACTTACCCTTCTACGATGATAAGACAATGAAAGTTCCACTGATTTGGAGCTAGTGATCCTTTGACAGGAGATGGGAAGATTTCTCACTTTAATTGACTGACGCTTCCTCAATAACTACTGCAAAATTATATTACATATTGCAGGAATAGTTACCCTACTACTCCAGATGGCTGTGTCTAAAGCCCTTGAAATGCTTCAGAAGCTTTCATTTAAATCAAGTAATGCCCACTGAAGTCATTTTCTTATTACTTACGGCTATCTAGTAGATATCATAAAACAATACACTGTAAAATATATTCATATTTTTAAATTAACATTGAGCATGCTATAATTTGAACTTTGTGCTAAGTCATTCTAGCCTTCCTCCAGTTGTCTCAAATGATGAGAGCTTATTCCACTTTTTTAATAGATTTTTTTTAAAAAAATCAGATGTTTTCCTTTGCTGTTTGGAGGATGGCAATCATTCCACTTACTTCACTGTGTCTCCAGAATTTCAGAGGGTTCAGTGGCCAGCAAATTGCATATGCAAAGAAGTTATATTGAAAGAAAAGGAAATGTTTTCATATGGACTTATTTTTAGTGCTATGATCTCATCTCCACTAGGCTGAAGCCCCCTCCCTGGGTGGAATCTGACACCCGGAGGGGAATGGCTGGATCATACATGAGACAGAAAGGACTGGGCAGGGAGCTGGCTCAAAGCAGGAAGGTCATCTATAGTGTCACCCCAAACCACTGGGTCCTGACCCCACTCTGAACTGCCCAGACTGTGGTCTCACAAGGGGCTCTTGAGCTCAGTGATTCCAATGTCATCTCCTCTGGTTCCAGATAAGATTGAAGATGAGTTGGAGATGACCATGGTCTGCCACCGGCCAGAGGGACTGGAGCAGCTTGAGGCTCAGACCAACTTCACCAAGAGGGAGCTGCAAGTCCTGTATCGAGGCTTCAAAAATGTAAGACACCCCCACCACAGCCTCTGAAGTCCAGGGAAGAATTTCCCATATGGGGCAAGCTAAGCATCTACAGATACCAAGGGTGCCCATAAGGGAATATTCCCTTCTCAGTAGTTGTACAAAGAAGTTTGACTTTCTAAAGCAGGCAAGAGAACAAAGCCACCTGGCTAGAAAGAAGATACCAGGCAAGGATGAGACCATCTCAGTAGGTGGAAAACTGGTTGACAGCCCAGAATCTTCACAGGATGGCAGAATATTAGAGAATTCACCCTGGCCCAGGTTCTTGCTTAGTACAACCCATTCACACTCTCAATCTCACCAGTGTCTCTGTGATGATGGGACCAAAGTATGCTGCTAACGCAGTTCACAGACACCAATGAGTAAGCCTGAATGTAATGCATTACTAGACACCACAGTCACATATATTTAACCTCATGACAGCCTAATTGGGAAGGTGCTGTTTGCCCCATTTTATAGGCTCGGTCATTGAGGATCAGAGACTGACTGTCTCTAAGTTTCAAAGCTTAGTAGGGGCTGCACGGAGATCCAGACCCAGGTCTTTCTAATCCCATAGCCCAAAACTCCTTGCTCCTCACAGAGCTCACTCTCTGGTGGCATCACAGCATTTTGGAAAGCAGCTTTAATCCTAAGGTGGGGCTACCTCCAAGCCACTCAACTTTGGAGACACAAAACACACAGGTGGTTGCTTAGTCCCTGCCTATCAGCGATCGATGGAAGAGGGGCTGTGGAGGGCCTGAGAGTCCAAGACTGGGCCCTCAGACACCTCTCCCTATCTCTCTCCTCTTCATGCAGGAGTGCCCCAGCGGTGTGGTCAATGAAGAAACATTCAAGCAGATCTATGCTCAGTTCTTTCCCCATGGAGGTAAGACCAAACCTTGAAAAATATCCTGCCCAGCTCCCTGTCTGATGAGCAACCTCTTTCTTCCAAGTTCATGCAACTTTACTATCTGCCTCTTCCTCAAGGTTGGGAGAAATCAGAGCAGTTTTCCTCCCTATGGGATTTGCTAAAACTTACTCAGAAAACAGCTCTGAAAATGGACCCTTGACCAGGAGAGTAGGAGAGGTTGATTATGCACTATAAGGTCTCATAACAGCTTTAGAAAGCAGGCGTGGTCTCATACGGGGCAACTGAGTTTCAGAGAGGTTAAGCAGTTCACTCAAAATATACAACCAGTGAGTGGCTGACCAGGATTAGACCCTGTTAGGTGTCTGATGTAAAGTTTTGCCATGTTAGGAACACCACGATGCCACACACACACTCCATTCTTTTCCTTACGACACTCAAGGCAAGCTCGATTTTGGGAAAAGTTCTTTAGCAAACTAATATAAAAAGATGCAAGAAGCACCACGTTGTGGTGATAAATCCAGGTCAGTGTTGTTCCAGAAACACGGTTGTTCTGTTGCCCTACCTGACTCCTGAGAAAAGTCAGCTCTGGCTCATTGGACCCAGGAAATCCTTTACCCTTCCTGTGAGGTGCATGTGTCACTTGCCACCTTGTTTCATATCCCCAGGGGTTACCTCCAACAGGACCCCTTCCCTGCCAAACAACTTTCACCCTCTTCAGCAGCACACAGAACCTTCCTAGGTACAGGGCCCCTATCCAAGTTGGGGGGCAGCTTCACCCCATGCAAGTCCCAGGGCCATCATTTGTTGAAATCTTTTGAGCCACACTTTATTGAGTTTTGACTATGTGGAAGGTTTGATGATGGTTTTAATGATGTGACTGTGTGAAAAGTTTCACATACTATTTCAAAAATTTTCAAGAGATACGTCTGGCTGCCTCCCATTGTACAGAGTCAGGAAAATGAAGCTCAGAGAGGCTGTGTTAAATACCTGAGGTCACACAGCTGTGTAGTGGCAGAACTGTTCTCCAAGGGCCGTGTGCTAAGGGGTGCTCAGCCCATGACATTTGTGCTGCTCCTCAGATGATCGTCTGTTCCACATGGTCATGGTGTCTTTCATCCACCAAAAATCAGAGAGACAGGCAGGAGGGTCTTCTCTGGGGACAGCTAGATGGAGAGACAAGGACTCTGCACCTTAGCCAGAGACAAATGGGTCCTGGGTGGCCACCAGCAGGTTTTCTCTCCCCTTAATGTTCTTTCTACTAGTGCATCCCCCTCTTCTTTCTTGTTGTCTTAAACAATCACGCACCCCCTGTGGAGTCCTGGCTCCCACCACCTGCCTTTCCCTCTCTGCCTTGCAGATGCCAGCACATACGCCCATTACCTCTTCCACGCCTTCGACACCACCCAGACAGGCTCCGTGAAGTTTGAGGTATGCTTGTCTTATGAGTCCCTGGGTCTTCATCCTCTCTCCTACCAAGCTGTGGAGGCTTTGGGGGAGGATTGGGCCATCAAATGCTTCAGTCAAGACAGAACTCTGTCCTATTCCTGGGTGCTCAAGAGAAGATAAAGTAGATTATCCACTCAAGAAGTATTTCCTTAAGAGCTAGAAGAAGCAACTGCCCTGACCCTCTAGGTCCACTCCAGGACCTCCACAACTTAAGTCAGCAGATTAATAGCTCACATGAACGCCAGGCTGACCATATGGAAGGCTCTGTATGTACCAACCCATTTAATCCCCACAATAACCCTACAACGTTGACTTGTATTATTTATTAGAAGTTTGTGGAAGAAGAAAGTAAGGCAAAGAGTTGCTTTCCCAAAGTCAGGCAGCGAGTAAGTGGAAAAGGCAGGATTTGAACTCAGGCAGCATGTTTGTCTTAGTCACTAGACTATAGCATCACTCATGATAATTGCAGACGTGGGCTAAGGCACTACCCAAGGAGGCTGTGTTTCCCTGTGTCTGCAGGTGTCAGCACATACAGAACTCCATTCCTCCTTCCCCAGATGGGGCAGGGCAGGAGATGGAAGGGGTACTGTTCACTGAGATTAGCTATATCCTTCAGGGACAGAGGACATGAATGAAACCACTGTGTAAAAGCAGTCCCCAAGTTTGATCATCACAGCTTTCCCCCAATTGATGGCTTGGTGGTCAATGTCACTCATGTCTCTTCCATTTTTCAGGACTTTGTAACTGCTCTGTCGATTTTACTGAGAGGAACCGTCCATGAGAAACTAAGGTGGACATTTAATTTATATGACATCAATAAAGATGGTTACATAAACAAAGAGGTAAGCTGAGGCCAGGGGCATGAGGGAGCTATGAGGCTGACACCTAATGAAATAGAAGACAGTCCCAGTTGTGAAATTGTCTGAATAAGGAGGGAGCTGCTTTGGGATTCTCAGAGTTGTTTCCTGCAAAAAAATGCAGGTCACCTTTGACTTCCTCCATTCCATACTCTGTCCTGTTCCCGGGCGCTCACAAGAAGATGAAGTAGATTCATTCTCACTGGGTCACATATATTCAGTGCACATTATTTCAAGGGGGTCTTAAATGATTTATTTTAGTGTAGAGTTATTCTTCCCAGGGGAACTTATATTTTAATAGATTAACCGTTAAAAGTTGAAGCTAAAAGTTAGAATGGCAACAACCTATTTTAGTTGCTACACAGAAAGGGAAACTGGGGGTTTAGCCATCGCCAAAGAAATCATCACATTTTTTTTAATTTTCACTGCCCATTTTAGAGCCTCTGAGTACATGCAGTGTTTACTGGTGAAATACCCACAGAACTATCTCAAATCTCACTTTGGTATCCTGGAATCTCTCTGCATGTATGAAGGTGTGACGTTCTTATCACTCTCCAAATTGCAGTTGTACAAATGACAAATCAATAAAATAGGCTTATAAAAATTAAAAAATAAAATAAAATGAGCACATGAAATGAGGAGTATATGGCCAGGAACGCGGGATAGAGGCTATCCTTGGGGTCTCTGCAGACACCACACCAAGCATGGTGGAAAGTAGGCTGAACCCCCAGGTGGAATATAGGGGCACTGAGGGGGAACAGCAGGAGGGCAGCACTGCACCAGGGGCAGAGACCTTAGCAAGGCAGAACCTGGCACTCTTATCACAGAGCTCACAGTCTTGGGAGACAGATCGATGACCTAATAGTAAAAACAATTTAGTTGTTTTAATAACTATTTACTGGTCACTTACCTATATCAGAAAGTATTAAAAAATTAGAAAGAAACTCTGACAAGATTTGTAACATCTATCAACCTCCATCAACCAAGAATGGTAATTAATTTTATATAGACAGGGATAGTTTAGTTACAAAAACTAGAAAAATCATCGACAGAAACTTTCTTATGTGAAGAGAAATTTCTTATAATGATATAGGGAGTCTGATGGAGCACATTTATTCTCCTTGAAATTAGAAAGTTGTTTCTAATTTCTTCTCTCTCTCTGTCTCCCTGTCACTATCTCTCATCTCTTCTTTCTTCTTTTTTTCCTTCTCCTTCTGAAATCTCGATGGCCATATTTTCTTCTGCAAGAACTGATATCCTCAAGTTGACAGAAACATAGGGCCAGGGAAGACCCAAGGGAAGATTCTAGTTTATTGGGTGACCATTCTCAGACACTGCCTCTCCATGGCTTCACTTGGTCTCTGTTACTGTCTCTGTCTTCTTCAGTTGCTTTTGAGAGAGAGAGAGAGAGAGAGAGAGAGAGAGAGAGAGAGAGAGAGAGAGAGAGAGAGAATTTGTTCATGTAAACATTTCTATTTCTCCCTTGTCCCAGCCCACCCCCACCACTCTTCTCCCTCCAATCCCCTTTCTCCTCTTCTTTTGATCCTTTTCTCAAAGCATTTCTCTCATCTCCTCTACTTATGGTACCTATGCTCTATTCCACTCTTCCGCAGAAGGCTGTACTTCAGCTCTCCCTCATCCTCAGCTAAAACTTGGAAATGGCTTGCCCATGGCCCCAACTCCCCTTGACTTTAGAGCTCCAGGGTCTTACCACTTCAGACTAGTTTCTGTGCCTCTTCATTCAAATTCCTCAAGAAGAAAAACTGAGTAGCTCAGCTTTAGTCAGATGTCCACCTTCGTGCCAATCAGCTGTGGCCACAGGGACAGGTCACCTGGTACAAACTCAGCCACCCATAGAAGGAATATGGAGAGGAGAGAGGGTCTTCCACAACTGGGGTGTGGACTGATCAGAACCCCGACACATCCACCCTATCTTACATATAACTCCTTGCTAAAGATAATACCCTGAAGAAGTAACCTACCCAAAAACTTCTGCAGAGAAATTTTCACTGCCCTCTCTATAAAAGGGGTTTCCCAAAAATAACACCTCCCACTTGCTAATGAAACTCCCTTTCTTCAGCAGAAGTTTCTTCTAATTGCTCTCATTGGCAAAGGGGATAAAGCACCCCAATTTCTTTTACCTAGGAAGAGCTTGACCTCCTGGTTCCCATTCTAAGGCTTCCATTTCCCCTTTCCAGGAGATGATGGACATAGTCAAAGCTATCTATGACATGATGGGGAAATACACGTATCCTGTGCTCAAAGAGGATACCCCCCGGCAGCACGTGGATGTCTTCTTCCAGGTAAGTGCACACACCCGTGTGGGAGCTTTGAGCCCAGCTTAGATCCGTGAACCCCTCTGTGCATTTGAGCAAGTGGTTTGTGTCCAACCATGCTAAGCATCATGGGAAACTTAATTACAATATGTACTGTCCTCTAGGAATCTATAGCCTTGTTAAGCAAGGAAGTGCCCCCTACGGGAGGAAACAGAGAAGTATAATATCAAGTGTAAGTGGTATAGTATGGCTTCTGTGCTCCATAAAAATTCTTGGGGCATCAAAGTAAACAGAGAAGATGCTGTTAAGGACATTTGTGTAGGTGTTAAACATTTGTGGCTGGAGAGTAAAGAGAAATGAGGTTGGAAACTAGGGTAAACTGGACTATGAGGTCTTGAAATAGAAGAGTTTAGCCTTGCTCTGGTAGAGGGGGGCTGGCTACTGCCAATTTGTGGGTTCAAGAGCAACATGATCATAGCAGTGCTTTAGTAGTAAAGTAGTAGTGTAGCAAAGAAATGTCAGGCCCATCCCAGTGCTATCACCGCATTTTGCAGATGAGAAAAGCAGAAGCTCAGAGAGACTTCAGGACTCACTCCAGATCACACAGTAAATGAAAGACAGAACTAAGACTGCTATTACCCCATGTTCTTTATGCCCGGCAGACAGGCTAGGGGAGAGTGTGGGAAGACGTGTTAGGGAGTCAGCAGAATGATCCTGTGACGAGGCGATGAGTCTAGAGCAAGTCTTTGCATTTTAAGGTGGTTTGTGGGGGTCCAAGTGGCATAACCAGGATCTAGACGGAGCTGTCTGCCCATTGAAAGACCACCCTAATACTCAAAAGCAAACTTGGTTAGCAAAAGGCAAATTTTGAAATATAGACTACCCGGTTTTTCAAAGTAATTCCCATTTTATTTTACAGAAAATGGACAAAAATAAAGATGGCATTGTGACTTTAGATGAATTTCTTGAATCCTGTCAGGAGGTAAGGAGAAATCTCAAGGCAATATACCTCTAAATCTGGGTCTGGAGGAAGGAAGAAAATGAAAAATGTGCGACCTCTCGGGTCAGAGTGCGTCCCCCACCACCACACCAAAGACTGAAACCCAACACTCTCCTCTCCCCAGACTGCCCCAGGCATAGTCCTAGATAAGCACAGGGCTGAGCAGGCCAGCCTGAAAAGTGATGGGGTGAGGGTGGGTAGAAAAGCTCACACCAGGTCTTTGTGAAATGACTTCCCAAGGGGTGAACACCGTCATTCTCACCTACCTCTGGCTTGATGACCAATAGTAGCTGGAAAAAAATCTAAGGCTGGGACTCTCAAACTACAGTGTGTGTAAGAAATGCCTGGGAGGACTGTGAAAATAGACTTGAGATCTGGGGCAGGGATCTAGAAATCCTCATGTTAATACAAATATCCTGGACCAAGGCTTCTAAAACTTAATTTCGTAGGCCTACCTCCTGGAAGATCTCATTACAATTCAGATTCTGATTCAACAGGTCTGGGGTGAGGCTTGGTTGATACATTTTTACCACTTTCCCAGGTGATGCTAATACTGCTGGTCCCCCCAGAGTGTTTGCTAGAGACTGAACTAGAAATAGTTGTTCCATCTACATTAGGAAAATGCACTTCATACCCACACCTTATTTCAGAAAGGTACACAGTTGCTCTGAACTCCTCCCAAGAAGAACTGCAAATACAAGAAAGCAGAGAGAAGTTATCCATACAACTGAGCTCCTGGCAAGTTTCAGATCCAATGACTAATATTCTTACAACAGCCCTGAGAGGCAGATGCATTATTTCCAGGGGGGGATTTTCAAAGTATTTGATAACTAGAATGAACTGAGATTTGACCACTTATAACTGGCCTTGGTGATTGTCCTGGGTCAGTGCCCTAGAAGGCCTCTTCTAAACTGGCTTTACCCTGTTAGTTTAGTAGATATTTGAGTGGTCAAAGGGTGCTGGGCCAAGTACGAGGTAGCCAGAGAAGAAGATGCTGGAGAGGAAGCCCAGGTCAGCAGCTATTTACCAACAAGGCTAGAAGTATAGTAACACTTTAGGGCCTCCCCGGTGGCTCAGTGGGTTGAGCACCATGCTGTGAAGCTGTCTGCAGCCTCTGCAGTGCTGGTTCCATCCCAGCCGGCCAGCAAGAATCCCACATGGTGCAGCAGACCTCTCCTGCGCGCCCTGTGCTCCCCTCAGCCGTGTATTTCTGTCGTCTGCCTGTTCTGCCCTCTGCTCTGTCTCTGGTGAATCCTCTCACTCTCCCGTGCCTCTGGCCTGTACCCCAGCTCTTGTATAAAAATAAATAAATCTTTAAAGAAAAAAAAGAAGTCTATTAACACTTTAATCATTGAGAACAGAGTGGACACCAATACAGGTCACACCCATCTTAAAGGAGAGAAGATAAAGGCATTGCAAGGTTAAGAGATGGGACTAAGGCTCCATAAGTGACAGAAATGGAGCCTGAACTCCAAAGTTCTAATTTTAAATATCATGCCCTACTGGAGTGTACTTTTTTGTCTTTCTTAACAATTTTTTAACGTGTGAAGTTTCTCACGTTAGTAGAGTCTAGAGTAACTCATTACTATTTCTTTTTCACAACTCAACCTCTAGACAGATATCATGGTCGGTGCCATTTTACATGTGAGGAAGCTGAGATAAAATAACTTGTCAAAATTATTTATTTATTTCTCCTACTCAGGTAGTAAGGGAAAGAGCCAGGATTTGAATTTCATTCACTTGACTGCAGAACCCACTAAGCAATAATATCTCTCTAGTCTAGCAACTTTAAAAATATTTCAAATAACCAGCATCATTTGTTCTCTCGGCAAGGAAGCCCATGCTGGAGATTTGCTCAGAGAGCAGCCTCCGGGAGTTCTAATCCTCTCTTTTCCCCTCCTTCTCAGGATGACAACATCATGAGGTCCCTCCAGCTGTTCCAAAATGTCATGTAACTGCGGAGACAGCTCTCAGAGACGTTGTACTAAACCACCACCTTAACACCTTGATCTGCCCTTGTTCTGATTTTACACACCGAGTCTTGGGACAGACACACCTTTTACACTTTGGAAGAATTCTCTGCTGAGGACTTTCTATGGGACCCAGCATCACGCAGCTCAGTCTCTGAGCGCCAACTCTTCCACCTCCCTCTTCATGAGAGAGACAAGATGAAATTGGGTTTGTTCCGGAAGCATGCTCATTTCTTCACACTGCTGCCCTGTGGAAGGTCCCGCTGCTTGAGCTTCATCAGTAGTGCACTTTTCTGCTTGCGTGCCCCGCCTACTGCTTCCACGTCCAGCAGACCTTGATGCATCTGGAAGCAAGATGACCTGAACCAAATGCACTCCATCCTCTGATGGCCTCCCAAGCCAGAGTGCCTGTTTCCCTTCCTAGGGGGGAAGAATGAGCATTATACAGAACAGATAAGATCTATCATAACTAGATGGGGAGAGCCAGCACCTAAGATAAGTACGCTCGGACTGAATTATGAAGCATGGCATTGATGACCCAGACTGCCCATGTCCTTTGTTTCTGGAGGCAGGACCAGTACTTCTCTCTCACACTAGCATCCGTGCTGGTAGTACAAGTCCCTTAACATGCCCAGGAAGGGGGCTAATGTCCATGGTCCCTGCCTCCACTCCATCTCCCACTAGAGCCCTGCACTGCATGTCCCTCCCAGAAAGCCCAGAATGTCTGCAAAATGCTGTAATTTTATACCATGTTCTAATCAATAAAACCAAACTATTTCTTACACTCTTTTCCTTTATTTATTCCATGACTCTATTGGGCAGGAGAGGTAAGTTGTGAAAAGGGAAGGCAAAGTCCATTCACTTGGTATTCACTTATCTGTACTTGCTTTTGCCAGGCAGTGCATAAATCCTCCCCTGGCCCCAGGCAAACATCCCATTCAAATGGAAATACCGTGACCTTATAAAAGTACAACTTCAAGATGAGAAACTTCAAGGCACCTTTTTCTAGCAAGATTGCTGCTCCCAAAACCATCTGGTACAGAAAATCTAGAGCCTCAAGTGGTGTGGTGAGGATATAGAGATAAAGAGATGGTCCTGACCTCCTGAGGAACAAGAAGTCAGGGCTGATCAAGTGGCTTTAACCCATGAGCAGCAAGTGATTACATGTGTTGAGCACTACGACTCTGGGTTTCCCTCACTGGACATCACATTAAAACTGTTGACCCAACAGTGCCATTCTTGGAAGAAAAGAAATTTACTGAGCTCCTGTTATGCACCAGAAACTGCATGAGGGGTTTTATATACATTATCTTGTTTCATGGTGTGGTAGAGCATTCTGGAAGATAGAAGTTTTCCTGGTGAGGAGTGTGAAACTCAGAGTGGTAAGGAGACTTGCTTCAGGTAGTAGAGCTCAGTAGAGAGATCAAATACTTCCTTACTAGGAGATTCTGCCTTTGCCCTAAGGAACTGAGGTCACCTGGCGCAGAGCTCACTCATCTGTAGCAGTCATTTCAGGGAGCCATAGCTACTCTTAGAACCCAAATAGCACGTGAGGAAACAGACACAGAGAAGGGGAAAGCCTCAGGTACCCACAGATCACTAGCGAGAGCAGCCACTGCATGTCATATGTGCCTGAAAATACCTCTCTAATTGCCATGGACTGTTTCCTTTCATGGCTGATAATTGTAGGGGTCACAGCTCTGTTCCTGTGTTCGGGCTTCCTACATGTAACCACGTGGTCACCCATGGCTGCTGGACATACAGCTGGCCCTGGCAAGGCTTATACTCATGCCCAAGCAGAACATCCTGTACCTGTGACTCTTTCCATGTGGGGTCTGAACCTGCACCATGAGACTGTACAATGTTTAGGACAGGCTCCTCCACCCTGGCTGCAAATCACAATCACCTGGGGAACTTAGAACAATGCCAGTACCTGGGCCCCACCCCATGTCATCAAAGCAGAATCATGAAGGGTGGAGCATGTGCAGGAGAACGCTGCAGAGGCTGCCCAGGTGATTGTAATGAACTGGGGGGCTGAAGGTAGTGATGCAATGCTAAGAATGAAGTCAAAGATCTGAGTCATGCCCCTGGCAGCAATGGCTGATTAGGGGTAGGCTTGATATCTATGTCAATCTAAATAGCATAAATCTCAAGACTTGTGCTGGGAACAAAAGGACAAAGATGTTCTCTTTCCTACTGGACACGAATGAGACAGCATGTAGTCCTATAATATGTAAATGATCATTTAGGAATTCTGAGGGCTTATCTGATAACCAAAGGGCAGGTAAGCCATCACAGAGGGCAAGGCAGATTTAAAAAAGAAAAACTAGAGAGTCCTTGATGAGTTCAGTAAGTTGCTGGATCAAGCAGTACCTGAAGCTGTAACATATCTGTTTTTTTTTTTAAGTACCTATATTAGATACCTACATAAGGCCTAGGTCAGTGTTCTTCTATCCTGGCTGCATGCAAGAATCACTGGGGAATAGCACGTGGAGAAATTTTTTTTGAGTGCCAAATGCCTGGATCTAATCCCAGATTAATTGAATCAGAAACTCTGGAGGAAAGGCCTTGAGCATCAGTATGTTTAAAAGCTCTCCAGGTAATTTCAGAGTATGACTAAGGCTGAGACAATCTGCTTTAGAAGAGTAGGAGGGATAGTACCCTTCCTGTGCTGGCCAGAGCACAAATAAGAAACACGATTCAGTCCTGAACACCCAACGCATAGAGAAAAATCAGCACTGGGAATATTCGAATGGACAGAAGGAAGATTGGAGACTGTCTAATAAATAACAGACAGTTGCTTGCCCTGGTTGGGGGCAGAAGGGTGTATAGGACAATGTGTTTTGACAATTGCAAGTGCACTGGCCATCATTCAACAAAGCTTTTAATAAAAGAACAAGAGAAAACAAAAGTTGCCATTTTCCTGAAAGCACAGAAACAGACACAGCATTGACTGAATCCAGATACCTCTCAGCAACTAGGATATTGGAGAAACAAGGTTCTCTGCTTGGAATACCCATCTCCAACTTGGCTTCCTGGAGAGATCCTGCTCCTCCTGAATCATGCAACAAATTGTCACTGTTTGCCAGTTGCTGTGCCTGCTGCTAGGGATTCCATGTAACAGATGCCATGGCTGCCTTATCCTTGGCTTGTGTCGATACTGCACAGGTGGGCTTCATGGCTGCCAGGCAAATGCCTGTGGATTTTTGTCTGTGATTTTGTCACAGGTCCACTCTGGCCAGGATAGCTCACCTGGTCTGTGGACAGGCCAGGACAGAAAGAATCGGTAGGTCACACTTCCTGCAGTAGCCAATGACTGCCAAGAGTTGGTGGAAAAATAGCCCAGATGCATCTCATCCCACTAGGAAGAATGCTGTGTCCCAGACCTTCCCAGTAGGATCAAACCTAAATTGTCCAGAGCACTATCTTCCTCAAAAGAACACCTTACTGACCTCCTTCCCCTCCCTTTGTCATTTTTTGGGCACATGTGTGCACATGTACATGCGCGTGCACACACACGCACATATACACACACATCCACATTGCTTCCTGGGATCACCTCCCAAACAAACAAACAGAGTCATGTCCTTGTTGCTGCGTTGGCATCTAGGAGAATCTAACCTAAGCAGACATGAATAGGACAGATGTGGGTTCTGCTCCCAGGAGTCTTCTCATCTAGTGAGAGGAAATACAACAGATGGAATCTTTAGGTCCTTACAGGTATGAAGAGAACAACAGTGTGACATCATAGAGAGTAACTGGGGTAGTTGGAAGGCAACTTGTACGGTAAGTGGAAGTTATCAGGTTTTTTCTACCCTTCCGCCATTAGCATCAGTGATCGATACCTAAGGTCTTACACGCATACCTGATGGTGGCACCTGGAGCTTGGTGTGTGTGTGTGCATGTGTAAGCGGGCACGCCTGAGCCCAGAGGCTGAGCATATAAGGGCAGTGTTACAGAGGATGTGGGGGGGCAGTAGAGGACAGGGGTGGCAAAGACCCCATGGCAGAGAACAGTAGAGGCCAGCAAAGAGGCCACGAGAGAACACCAGAGAGCATAATAATTCATACGGGGCTAGGAGGCTGCCAGCCTCCTGGCCCCCTGGCCCCCTTACTGCCCTGCACCTAGTTGCCTCACAACAAATGGTGATCATTAAAAGCCAGAAAAAGCCACTGAGGACTCCAGGACTCTTCCTTATTCCTCTGCCTGGATCCATAGGGAACCTGCTCCATGCCTCACTGGCATCACACAACTGTAGACAGGGTGGAAGGGAAGGCTCCTGTGGGTTGAGCGTGATTGTGATCTCAGTAGGGTGGGGCTGGAAAGGAGCACCAAGGAGCATTTATAAAAACTCTGGATCTAGGTCTGCTAATTCTTCCTCAGTCATCTGAGAGTCTGTCCCTTATTATGATAGGAAATCATATCTGGTGTAGAAATGAAAAATCCCCCAGTGACCAATCAATCCCTGTGGTTTTCTAAAAGCCCATCTCTGAATAAATCCTCTGGCAGAGGCCAGACAAGCCTGCTGGAGATGCTCCCTAGATAAAATGTAAATAGGACCAGGAACCACTGCTTGGGGCTGGTTCTCTAGGGATGGTACCCTACTTGTATCTTATGACACCCCAGTGAGGTAGATATCCTAGGCACCTGTTTTTAGATGAAAAAAATGATGTCCCGACACATGGAGGGACCTGTTCACACAGCTGGAAATGGGTGTAGAACCCTGCCAACCTTCAAAATCCATACCATCTCCATTTCTTAGAAATCATGAACACCGTTATCCACCTATTCCTGAAACTAGTTCCAATAAAATACAAATACAGAAGGTGTTGGAAAGCAGCTGCCAGGAAATCTATTAGTAAAAAGCAATGAAAGCAGGTCCATGAATTCAAGCCAAATTATTCCTATAAAGGGAATAATGCCAAGAACGTGTGCAAAGATGCCCATATGGGATTCTTAGAAGAGTTGAAATAAGCATGTCCCTCATATCAAAATAAGTCTCAAAATAATTGGCAGACCTTACAAGCTCTGCACCCTGGACCAGTGACTAACTCTTAGACCAAAATTCCAGATCTTAAATAACTTGGAAAATCCTGGGGACAGCCAGACTCATTGAGTAGACTTCTGAAGATCCATGAAATTCTGGGCTGCTGACTATATTCTGAGTTCCAGAAATGGCACACTTGACCTATACTAAATCAATCATTACCATTCATGTCCATGGCCACCATGATTGGTTCACAGCAAGACCTAAGCCAATCCAAACAGTACGAGTTTAGGCTCTTTCTAAGAACAATAAAAAAATAGTTGTCTATTTTCCTGCTAGACATAAATGAAAAAAGCACAACATCCTGGGACACACAGGTAATCATTTTGTAACCTGCAGGAAAGTCAACATAATGCCACAGAAGTCAGGCAGAGAGGGGAACACAAATGGACTCCTCGATGATTTCATTGAACAGCTGGATCAAGCTTTACCTGAAGCTACCAGTATCTCTTACTGGGTTTGGTTGGCATGTATCAATAAATTTTTTATTCTTTAAGGCAGTTTGAGTTGAAGTTTCTATAACTTGTAATTGGCACACATTTGACATGTTAGCTGATTCTACCCTTCTTTATTTGACAGATGACGTAACCAAAGCCTATGGCTACATCACTGGGTAGTAGCAGAGCTGAGACCAGAAATCTAATCTAGAGCCATTTCCACTGGACTGCCATCTAAATTGCAACAATGAGCAATAATAATGATGATGATAATGGTAAATAATATCTAGTGAGCACTATTGTGTGCTAAATATTCACATGCATTTAATCCTTACTACGCTAGGGTTGGTTCTATTTTTATTCCCATTTACTACTGAAAAAACTGGGGCTCACAGAGGTTAAGTAATTGGCTATGATCAAGTAACTAGTAAGTTATAAAGCAGCAATTTGAACCCAGAAACTGCTGTTGTACTAATCACTAAGCCAGGAATTTCCAGGTTCAGTGTGTATATGGTGCCAGACAGATTAAACAAATGAGTGTCAAACCAAAGAATACATTCCCAGTGTAAACAACAAGGTCACAGGCCTAGTGGGTGCTGCCATATTGACCAAATGTGGACCCCCTGCTGTTAGACCCACTGATTTTTTTCAAGTAACATTGAAGGTATTGTTACTAAATCCACTGTTGTTTGTTGTCAAATTAACCCGGTCACCTCAGACTCCCACAGAGGCATTTTGTCTCTCACACTAGTACATGCCACACAAGGGGGAGGGCAGTGCTGTGGATTGGAGTAGTCCAGAAGGCTTCCCACAAGGGGTGGGACATGGAGCGGCTAACAGGCAGGAAAAGGAGACTCCACGTCCGGGAGGGGAGTCTGGCAGCAACAGTGTGTTTGAAGGCTGCTGGGAAGGATTGGAAGCGAAGTTGAAGGGGCAGGCTGCGGCTACCGCGTGGACGGCCTTGGATGTCAGGTTAAGAAAACAGACTTCCCCTGGACAGCAGGGAGCCACCAAAGGGCCCCCAGAAGGTGCTGATGGAGCCCGGAGCTGCAAACTGGTATGGATCTGGAAAAAGGGACCCTACAGAGGCCAGAGTAGAAATAGTTCTGGAAGGGATGTTGGGGGCCTCGATGAACCTCATTGAAAACATGGGGAGATTGAGGGCAGATGAGTGAACCAAGGAACTAATGACGGGGTAGAACCAATATGAGATACCCTAGAGGGCAATGTAGAGGACCTGGCGTCCTCATGGAAATGTAGGGTGAAAGAGGAGGCGTCAAGTGCGACTGGAAAGTACCTGCGCATCCCGCAGGGTGGCCAGCTGGGCATGAGCGGAGGCTGCTGCTCGCCAGGGCGCCGCTAGATGGCGCAGGCTCCCCGCCGAATGCGCCGCGGGACCCGCAGCCTGCGTCTCGGACCCACGCCACTGCTCCTAAACCCGGTGCCAAGGCAGCTTTCAGCCCTGCGCATCCAGTGGCCTGGCGCCTGGTTTAATAGTTTGCTACCAGGACCATGAAATTCTTCACAATTTGTGAACAAGGGAACCCACGTTCTCATGTTTGCTCTAGGCCTTACAAATCATGCAGCAGGTGCTACCCAGAGCTTTGCGTGCAGAGCACTTTCACATGGCGATGGGGTGAGGATTTTACAGACCAAGAAACCGAGACTCAAAGAGACCTGTCCACCATGCCACGCTGGTTGTTGGTGGAACAGTTGGAAGCCGCACCCATGACTCAGCGTCTCTCCCCACCATATGGGAGGCCACCCCAGGCTCGCAGATAAGACCCTGCACTGCCCCAGACAGAGGTCTCCCTGACGGCGGGCAGTCCCCCGCAGGCCCATCTGGTGCTCAGAGGCCCGTGGAACCGGGGTAAGGGCCGGGAGGCAGAGCTGTGGAGTCTCCATTCCTTCTGGAGACTGAAAAATTCTGGGCAGTCAGAAGAAAGAGGCAGCTCTCTGGCCCAAGTTGCTAATTTGGCTTCTGCCTTCTGCAGGGAGAGACCAAAGCAGAAGTTGGGGGTGGGAAGGACCTGCCCGTCTGCAGGGTATAGGGAATGGAAAGGCAGGGTGGTGGCTGGGAGAGGTGAAGACAGCTCACAGCCCAGCGACTGCTCCCCCACCCTCCAGTTGCTGGCCCTAAACTGGTGGCCCCTCTGAGCCTCGCTTTCATCAAAAGTAAACAGGAAAAAATTCTCAGGGTTGCTGTGAGGATTAAATACTTCAAGTGCCTTGCCAGTTGCAGGTCCTCAGTAAATATTTCTTTATTTACTTTTGGTTTTTGTAATAAAGGCAGCAGGGTTATCCGCTGTGGAATCTCCCCTTGGGGGGTGAAGTGCTCTGGAGGGTAGGAGGTGCTGGGTGCAGGTCAGGGAGAGGGTTGGAGGGCTGATGGTGGGAAAATTGTTAGAAATGTGGTCCGGCAAGCCAGACCAGCTCCTTGAGGGGAGATGGCAGACCCAGGCCTGGAGAGAGACCTGCACTCCTGGTAGAGGCTACAGGAAAGCAGAGGGCAAGGCTGGAAGAGAAAGAAAACAACAAAATAATAGTAATATTCATACTGCCCCCCTGTGGTGTGTGGAACCAGTCCCCAGCTGCCTTCAAAGCCTCTTCTGTCATTGACATGAATTCTCCCACCTTCCCAGAGTAGCCAACAGGACACTCATCACCCTTCTTTGCAAATGATTTCCCCAAGGTCAAGAAAGTGACACAAGGACTTGGCTTAGTCTTCTGATTTTTTGGTTCAGGGTTCATCCTGGTGTTGCAAAGTGAGAGCCACCAGACATGGAACAAAAGGCAAACCCCTGCAAATTGTCCCTCTTTGTTTCTCATCACCAGACCCACAAAGCTGGAAGTGGGCACTGGGGTTAGGATCTGTGCCCTCATCAGAGGCCCTGCTGAACCAAAATGCAAGGTTGTCCTGGAGCCTTTGGAATCAGACAGCCAACTCTACTGCTGTCATGTATTTGCTGTGTGACCTAAGGCAAGTGTCTCTGCCGTTCTGAACCTTGTTTACAAAACAGGAATGACAATATTTACCTCATAAGATAAGAATGGTGTGGGGGAATGTGTGTGGGTTTTGCAGTAGGTCAGACTAGGTTCAGATTCCAGCTTTGCCATTTATTAGCTGTGTGACCTTGAGCAAGAGTCTTTGCCTCCCTAATCCTCAGTATCCTGACCTGCAAAATAGGCACGTCAAGACCTCCTACCTAAGGCTGCAGGGAGCTATTGTCCTCCAGTCACCCTGCCAGATCTCTCCTAGAGGTCAGTAATGTTCATCTTCACAGGAGAAAAGGGAGCTGGGGTGGCGGCTGCTGCATTTCACCTGGGACCAGGTCTGGCGCCTGCACTGACAGCCATCCAGCCCCAGGCAAATCTGATCCCCACAGAGCTGTCAGCTCAGAAACATTCCTGCTGTCAGCGACAGGCTTTTGGGAGTGGGACGTGGGACATTAACCAGACAATGGCAACAATGAAAAGACTGTGGATTGTTTGAAATCTGGATCTTAGAGACAGAACCCTTTCACCTGGTGATCTCAGAAACTGTGACATGCGCACGTATCCCTTCTCACCACAGCCCTATGCCAAGTATGGTGTAGAAGCCACATCCCAGAGGGGAGGCAAGGACAAGAATGACAGAATGACGGAATTGCTGAATGCATGGGGCGGCTCATTTCTGAGCTGCATGCAATTACTGTCCCTCACAAAGGCAAAAGCAGTGGCAAATGTGTGCCCTGGAGTCAGGCAGTCTGGGTGCAGACCCAGATATTTACTGTCTTCCTGGGCTTTCATTTCTGCAGCTGTGAACTGAGACTAATCTACCACCTAGCACAGTGTTAAGGATCAGGTACTACAGTTAAAGGTTAATATCTTAGCTTTGGTAAAGCCCTTAGAAGATATGCCTGACACTTGGTAAGGATTCAGTTATAAAAAATAAAACAATAATTATAGTAATTATTATATCTATAGCATAGTGAGTACTATCATTGGTGTGGATTCTATTCTGTTGTATTCACATTGGGGCTCCCACATAGAATACAGAATAAAATCCCACCTACCTAACCAGGTTTATAAGGTCATCATGGTCACAGCCTGCCCCACCTCTAGCTGCTGACACTTCCCCAGGAGTCTAGATTCAGTGAAACCAAACTACAGGCAGCTCCCTTTACAGTGGCACTGGTGCCAGTTCCCCCCAATCATTACCCATGAGATTGTGGAAAAATTACTTAGCTTCTCTGTCCTCGTTTCCTCCTCTGTAAAGTGGGGTGTGCCTGATTGCTTTGTGAACAAGGGGCACTGTGACATCACACTCCCCCAGAAAAGGAGATTGGGACTGGGGGCACATGATCACCCACACTGGGCCGGCCCCTAATGACTGAACAGGAGTTAGCAGTGCCAGCCTGTGCAGGCAGGACACCAATCCTTCCAAGAAACAGCTTTTGCCTGGGACTCCCCTCAGCCTGGCTGAGAGCTTCTGGGCACCATGCTGCTACCTGAGGCTCTTCCTACCCAATCCTACCTGCTCTCACCCTTGACAGCTGTCAGAGCTATGCAGACCCTCTTGCTTCATCCTTCGCACATGTTCTGCCCCATAAAACTCTGCCACACCTAATCCCATCTTGGTATCTGCTTCTTGAAGGACCCTCACTAGCAGGGAAGTGGTAGTTAGAGCTGCCCGGAGGTGTTAATGCGTCACTCTGTGAGCTGCTCAGAACAGAATATGGCTGTAAACACACATATTAGTTCATGGCCATCGTCAACACCACAAACATCATCCACTCACAGATTTGTCCTGTGATGGGGAGACATCTGTGGTGTCCTCTTCCAGACTGAAGAAAGTATAGTCTTAGCCAAAGGTGATATTTCTCATTCCTCTGATTGCTATTTTATAAGCCAGGCTACTAAAATCCCTCGCTTGCAAATAGTTGCTGGAAGTCAGAGGGTTAGTGTTTACCTTCACTCCAAAAGACATTGGCTCCACAGCTGGCTGAACCAACAGATTGGACACTCAACTATGTCCCATCATTTTCCATCTCTGGTTTGGGTTTCCTATGCTGTGAGCGATGGAGGGTGGAGGTGGGTCTCTGAGTGTCCAGATGTGAAGACATCTACTTCCCTCTGTCTGTCACTTCGGACACTGCCTCCCCACCATGCTCTCCACTGCTTCCCCTGTCCCTCACTCTATTCTGACAGTGGTGCCTCCTGGGTGTGCAAAGGCCACAGGCCAGTCAGAGATGAGCCCCACCACCTTTTATATGCCCTGAGGGCGAGGATCCACGGGCCTTTGAGCAAGGATTGGAATACGGAGAGAGGCGGTGAAGGAAGCCATCTCGACGTGTGTCGGCTTTGTAATTGATGTGATGAGCACAGGGAAGTTCTCTGTTCTGGTAAAAAGCATCTTTCTTAGTCCTCTCCTTCAGGATCAGGTCACTGATCTATGGGTGAGTTTCTCAAGTGAGGCAAGCACAGCACTCTCCCAGAGAAAGGGATCTGGGTATCCCCCTTCCTCTGAATCCTTTTGCTCCCAAAATGTGGATTCCACAATCCAGAAGCAGTTTGCTCTGGACAACTGTGCCAAGTAGCTACCACCTAACACTCCTCTCTTCAAACTTCAGGAACCCAATCACACCCCCCACGCCACCACGCTGCCCTCCAAATTCCCATTCTTTTTCTATGGGCTCAACCACTGGGGGTGCAGCTCCTCAACTTGAGGAATTGCTGTTCACAAAAAAGGCAGTATTCATTGTTCCTGAAGATTTCAGAACGGGGAAAACATAAGAAGGTTCCAGTTGACATGTAATGTTCAGGAAAGCACCCTCTTTTTATTTTTTCTTTTTCTGATGAAGGTAATAACGCTTTTTAATTAAAGCAAGTTACCATTGATAAATGTCATTGAGCTGGCTGTGAACCTTGCTGACTTTGTTGTAGCCATAAATGATGACAGGAGCCACCAAATCCCCAGATCAGTGGCAGAACAAATTGGCGGCCAAACCACCACCACCTGAAAGTCTGATCTAAATGTCTCCGGGCAGATTGAGATGTATGGGATAAAAAACTCGTATTTAGGGCCTTCCCTGGTGGTGCAGCGGTTGAGCACTGGGCTGTGAAGCTGCCCACAGCCTCTGCAGCACTGGTTCGATCCCTGGCCATATGCGAGGATCCCACATGGCACGCAGACCTCTCCTGCTGTGTCCGCTGCTCCCCTTAGCAGTGTATTTCGTCAGTCTGCCTGTTCTGCTCCCCACTCTGGCTCTGGTGAATTCTCTCACCCTCCCGCGTTTCTGACTGTACCCAGGGCTTGTATAAATAAATAAATAAATCTTTTTTTTTTTTTTAATAAATAAATCTTTTTTAAAAAATAACAAAACTTGTATTTAATCTTGATAGGTTACCACACAATCATTTATCACAGCTCTTAAAATATACACAAACAAGGACACAAGGACCAGTTCTTAAATAATAGCCTCCTTCCCCTGTACAGGAACTATCCATTTCAGTCCATAGGAAAGGGATGAGGGGGGCCAGGAATAAAGCATATTTCAGACAGACTTAGCATCGAGCCCAGACTCATCTTTAACTGACATCTGAGCAAGCTGCTTAGCTTCTCTTGATATGTTTCCACAACTGCAAAGTAAAAACAGTCACCTGCCTCACTCTCATCAGGGTAAATGAATAGAGGTAGGGCACACCCTTGATGGAGGTTGACACTCAGTAGGCACTAAGAAATGTTTTCTCCCTCTCCCCCTCCCTCCCATCACCCCATCTCTCATCTCTAGAAAATAGTATGTGCTGCAGACCCCCTCATTCATGCTGTTCCTGGAGTCCAGATGGTTTCTAGGCAAACACACAGAGTTTAAAGTCTTGATAATGGTCTTGATAAGCAGTGGAGTCCTTTCCCTCCTCCATGCTTTGTACTGAGTGTCTGTGTGTGTATTTGCTCATCTAAACCTCCCAACAGGGCCTCCCTGGTGGCTCAGGTGGTTGAGCGCCGCACGGTGAAGATGCCCACAGCCTCTGCAGCACGGGTTCGATCCCGGCTGGCCAGGGAGCAACCCACATGGCGCGGCAGACCTCTCTTGTCTCTCCCGCTGCTCCCCTCAGCAGTGTATTTCCTCAGTCTGCCTGTTCTGTTCCCCGCTCTGTCTCTGGTGAATCCTCTCATCCTCCCGCACATCTGGCCTGTACCCCAGTTCTTGTATAAAAATAAATAAATCTTTAAAATAAATAAATAAATAAATGAGAGATTTTCTTAAAAAAAAATAAATAAATAAAATAAACCTCCCAACAGCCCTGAGGTGGGTATGTAAGGGGACTTGTCCACATCTTCCAAAGGGGAGGTTAAGGCAGAGAGAGGTGAAGCTATCTGCCCAAGGTCACCAAGATAGCAGTAAGCCAGCGTTTGGACGGGAGCTATCTGGCTGCAAAATCCGCCTCATCCTCTTACTCCCCTGCCTCCAGAGACTAGGAAAAATCGGGGTTCATATTCAAGCTCAGTAATTCTACAAATTAGGTACAGAGTGGGTGGTAGCCATGGAGACTCCAGTAGGAGAGTGGCAGTTGATTTTCTTTACTCAGGAAGTAGAAATACAGCCCCAGGACCTCACTTCCTAGAGAAGGGCACACAGTCAGCATCTCAGAGCCTGCAGTCCCTTCCTGAGTTAGACAGAAGTTGTGACCAAGGGAACTGATCAGAGAAATGTCCCAGAAAAGGCTGGGGCTGGCCCAGGGCTCCCCCAGAGTCATGGGATTCTGAGGCACTCCCTTGTTCTATTGGGGCGTATTCACGCAAAACAGAGGTCAATGTCTCATATAACTCGGCTTTAGTCAACTTATATTTATTTTATGTCCACCCACCGGGTAACTTTACAGGCTTTCACTCCCTTACACCTCACAGCATCTCAATGAGGCAGATAGTATCAGTCCCCTTCACAGATGAGGACGTGAAGGCTCATTACAGAGGTTGGGTGGCTGCACAGGGTGAATGCGTGCTGGTTCTGCTTCTGCACCTGCTCTGCCAGGCAAGAACGGGGTGCTCATTCCAGGATCCACCTCCACA